ATTTCCTTATTTGTAGTTATTATTATGGATTTTTATCTTTTGTTTATTTTTTTTTTTTTTTTTTTTTTTTTTTTATCCTTTTGAAAATAAAATCAAACTATCTTTTTTTTCTTTCTTAGTTTTTTCCTTTTTTGTCAGGAAATTTTTTCTGTCTTTTTTCTCGGTGATAAATCCTATTGTCATTCATTCAATATCCTTTTATTTCTTATATGTAGTCACTGTCAGAGGGAAATTTTTCTCCTGTGAAAATAATGCCATTGACTAAATATCTATCTTCCATTACATTTTAAAATAATTTACTTTTTTTTCTTCTTCTTTATTTTTATCAGGTGAAAAATATTGTCTTGGGGAAATAGCTGTTGTCACTTTTATTCAAAATATTATTTTTATTGAAAATGTTTCTCATTTTTTTTTTTTTTTTCATCTTCATTTGGATGACATTCATTCATAATTCTCTTTATCTATTTTTTACTTTCTTTTTCACTCTACACCGAAGAATCCTATTACAAAAAAAAATAATAATAATAATACGATTAAATCTGACATTTTTTTTCTTGTATGATTCATACCATAACAGCGTCTGTCATTTATCCAAAACGTATTAAAAAAAACATTTTAAAAATTGTCAAAATACACGAAACATGTCGCAGATCGTACTCATTTCTTGAATAATTAACTGAGATGTCATGATTCGTTAATTAAAAGACGTAAATGGAAGACTAATGGCGCATTTCAGACTTCATTTTTTTTTTTCTCTCTCTCTTTGTCAACTTCAAATTTCGAGAAGAAATGGTAGGTAAGTAATAATGGCAATGATAGTCTGTTTTCTTGAATGATAATAATGAAAGTTTTATCATGACTTTTAAACACTGTACATTTTATTTTTATCTTTATTCTTTCACTCTTCTTAATTCCGTCCCCTTTATGGTTTCCACCCTACATTTCACCTCTCATTTCTTGTTTTCTCTCTCTCTCTCTCTCTCTCTCTCTCTCTCTCTCTCTCTCTCTCTCTCTCTCTCTCTCTCTCTCTCTCTCTCTCTCCTCTCTCTCTCTCTTCTCTCTCTCACCCTCTCTCTCTCTCCTTCACCCTCTCTCCTCTCTCTCTTCCCACCCTCTCTCCTTCCCACCCTCTCTCCTTCCCACCCTCTCTCCTTCCCACCCTCTCTCCTTCCCACCCTCTCTTCCTTCCCACCCTCTCCTCCTCTCCTCCTCCTCCCCTCTCTCCCTCTCTCCCTCTCCCCCTCCCTCCATCCCTCCCTCTCTCTCCCTCCCTCCATCCCTCCGTCTCTCTCCTCCCCCTCCATCCCTCCCTCTCTCCCCCTCCCTCCATCCCTTCCTCCATCCATCCCTCTCTCTTCCCACGCTCTCCCTCTCTCTCTCTTCCCCTCCCCTACCTTCCCCTATTACCATCCCTTATCTTCTTCCCTCCTATGTCCACACCCTTCTCCCTGTGTCATTAACCTTCTCAACAGCTGATTTTAGTGTTTTTGTTTACAAGTTGAACGCTGACCCCGTAATCCAGGCGTTTGACCTTATTCTGTATTTGTTTGTGTGTTTCTGTGGTTTGTGTGTTTATGTATTAGAGTATTTATGTATTTCACGAGGAGGTCTGTGTTGTGTGGTGTGTTTGTGTGTGTGTGTGTGTGTGTGTGTGTGTTTGTTGTGTGTGTGTGTGTGTTGTGTGTGGTGTGTGTGTGTGTTTGTTGTGTGTGTGTGTGTGTGTGTGTGTTTGTTGTTGTGTGTGTGTGTGTGTGTGTTTGTTGTGTGTGTGTGTGTGTGTGTGTGTTGTTGTGTGTGTGTGTGTGTGTGTGTGTGTGTGTGTGTGTGTGTGTGTGTGTGTGTGTGTGTGTGTGTTGTGTTGTGTGTGTGTGTGTGGTGTGTGTGTGTGTGTGTGTGTGTGTGTGTGTGTGTGTGTGTGTGTGTGTGTGTGTGTGTGTGTGTGTGTGTGTGTGTGTGTGTGTGTGTGTGTGTGTGTGTGTGTGCTCGCTCGTGTATACATATCCCAATTTGTTAACCCTTCATGTACACACTCTCACCTGCCTTTCCTCTCCCTAAACACGCTCACCCTCTTCCTCATCCTCCCCCCTCTTCCCTACTCCATTCCTCACTCTCCCAACTCCTCCTTCTCTCCCCTCCCTTCCCCTCCTTTTTTTCCTCCCTTCTCCTTCTTTTCCCCCTCCCTTTTGCTTCTTTTCCCCTCCCTTCTCCTTCTTTCCTCTCCCTTCCCTTCCTTTTTCCCGTCTCTTCTCCTTCTCCCCCCCTTCCCCTTCTTTTTCCCTCCCTTTTCCTTTTTTTCCTCTCTCTTCCCTTCTTTCCCCTTCTTCCTCCCTTCTTTCTCCCTCCTCCTTCCATACTCTTCTATATTCTTTCCCCCCTCCCTTCTCCCCCTTTTCCCCTCCCTTCTCTTTCTTTTCCTTCTACTTCTTTTCCCCTCCCTTCTCCTTCTTTTCCCCTTCCTTCTACTTCTTTTCCCCTCCCTTCTCCTTCTTTTCCCCTCCCT